CTGCAGGCAGCGCCTTGCAACTGAGACCAAGCGATATGATTACCACAGAGAATGGTCAGGCTGCGGTAGCCGGCCCTAACCCCCATGCCCCACAGGGACCCATAGTTTGGGGACAGGACCTCTCTTTTTGTGAAAGCAGGATTTTTTCCTGGCTTTCACTGTGAAGGTGTCATCGCCGCCGGTGACACGCGTGCCCCGTAACGTGACACGCTACTTTGATATGTCTGCTAACACAGGTGCAGACCTGACTGCTTCCTGCCCAGATTGTCCTAATTAGCCGTTTCCACGGCAGCCACCATGCAGACAGAGCAGGTCACCGTTAGAAGGCTGATTATACATCGCAACACACGTTCCCGCTGTGGACTGTGACTCTGCCCCTAACTTTATTTTCATTATATAATATATGATGAAAAACTGAATTATTATACATGTGGACCAACTGGTGGGAGAAGATGACTTTACATGCAGTTTTATTTTTTAAAAAGTTTTTTGTTTTGACTTTGTATCTTAACTCTGGGTTGTGACTTAAGGACACCTTCCAAGAAAGACACTGCTGAATTAGATTTTTAACTCCTCAAGTAACATTTACGCACTGATCAGTGAAAGAACAGCACAGTGCTTCTTGAAAAGTCATGTTGCCTTTCATCTGCCTTTTTATGAGTGATCCTTCCTGTCAAGCTTAAGCCCAGCTACTAACAGAGGCTGTGGATAATTAGAATCTCAGCTAATTTTTTTGAGAACCGCAGCCACCGGCACCTCAGTTCCTCAGCCAATGCAACGAGGCTGCAGGTGACACTCCTCATTCTGATTGGTTTACCGGAGTCCTATGGTTTTTTTTTCCATTTACAAGCCTGACTCAGTTGTGTTGCTCTCCAGTTGGATTTCGAAAGGCGAAAACGGTGCGTTGGCCAAGTACTGCAAACAGGCGCCACGTAGGTTTGCCAGGAACCATCAGCCAAGCCAAGAAGCCCTTTCAAAGCTGATAAAGTAGATGAGTGAACAAATGGCCTGGAAATGAGTGACATGGGTACAGTTCAGCTCAGTTATAAAAACAGGTTGTCCACTGTGCACCTCTGGATCTAACTGGTGTCTGTCAGAGTACAATTCATAAATTTCATTCTACAGCTTTTTTTTTGGAAAATAAATGGCACCAGTAAAAATTAAGCAGCAATTTTTTTTTACAGGCTACCCTATTTTAAGGATTTTGAAACAGTGCTCTTTTACTAAGAACTAAAAATGTTCAGTATAGAACAATTTAGTCTGACTCCAAAATAAAATCTCTGCCATTAAAAACACCCTAAATGACCAATTTAAAAACTTTTAAGAGGGATAAAAATAAATCCCTAAAAACAATCCAAAGGTTACTGATTATATGTTACATACATTGAAGGGAAATATAAAAAAGACAAAAGAGAAAATTATTATGAATATTAACCACATTCATCATGAGAAATTACATTTTTTTGCGTAATGTAGTTACGATGAGGATTGGTGCTGCGGTTAGTACTGTCACCTCTGGGACCCAGGTTCCAGGATTCCATGTGTGTGGAGTTTGCATGTCCCGTGTCATCGGGGGGTTTCCCCTGGGTACTCCAGTCCCCCCCTCAGCCCAAAGACAGGTTGAGGGTAATTGGAGTTATCAAGCTGCCCATAGGAGTGAATGGTGTGTGAGTGTGCCCTGTGATGGGTTGGCGCCCCATCCTGGGTTGTTCCCTGCCTTGTGCCCTGTGATGGACTGGCATCCCATACAGGGTGTACCCCAAACTTGTGCCCTGTGCTACACAGGCTTGAGGCCCCTGCATCTCCTGGATTTGGAATCGAGGTTCAGAATCAAAGAGCGCTGGTCCAGAGTGGGCGAATCCCTGCCGCTGTGGCGACGTGTTTACATCTGTAACTGCGCTAAGACATCCCGAAGGTGCGGCCTGTTACAGCTGCTCTTTCAGCACAGGCTTAGGGAGTGATTTACGACCAGCCGGGTCCCCCTCCGAGGAGCTGAGGGCCTCCAACCGCTGTTTGGACAAATGACCTCCGAGGCGACCTCCGGGGTCAGGCTGCGCAGAGCAAGGCCAGAGTGCCGCGGCGTAACATCTGAGCCTTTCGCCATATGGAGAGCATTGCTGCTTGGCTAGTGGCTGGTATCTTCTCTCTTGTGTTGGCACAAAGACAGCTGGGCAAGATAAACAATCGCACGGAACTCCTTTTGGGGATGCGTGGATTTTAGATTCCGCTGTTGCTAGGAAACGTACGGCCTCACAAATGGAGGAGATCTGGTGCATTAACGCTGGCGAAGCTGCATATAGTTGCAATTACATCAGACAGCCTGTTGGCGGTGCTGTTACCAGTGGTGGTCTTTGTAGTAGGCTCTATATGCATCTATGCCATGAAGCAATCTCAGGAACTTTTTAACTTGTAGTCATACATTCCAGTAATCTCCACCCACCCTATCATTTGTAGCTTAGTTACGTTTGCGCTGAACTCCCTGATCCACCCGGGCCCGAGCACCTGACCTCTGGCCTCTCGCTTCACTCTGACGACTCCACCATTTGGTCGCACCACGGAGGACCTCAGCAATTTGGGCGCGGGGTGGCAACCCTCGACCCTGCACGTGTTTCTCAGATGTCAGCCGGGTCATTAAAGTGGCACAAGCCAGTCGTACGAAGCCGGTGTGCCGAAGTCGTGCTAAACGCAAAAAACGGGAGACAACCAGGCCAAACAAGATAAAGAGAGGATCACCCCCGAAGAAAACGATGAGAAGAGTTACCTGGGAGCCCTCCATGTTCCTAATGCCATTCTAAACGGTCACTCTCCACTCAAGCGAGCTCCGAACTGAAGACTTGCATGTAGGTGGCCAGAGGTCAAAGGTCAATGGACCACTTAGAGCTAAATTCAGTGATGGGGGGTCTGCAGTCCTCTTCC